AGGGAGAACTTCTGTTTCTTTATCCTTGGCTGTGATCTTGCAATACATCAAATTGTCCCTTCCCTTTTATTTGACTGACAGCAAAACCAACACTTGCTGAAACTTTTTTTTTGTTCCTCACATTTCTTATCCCCTTTTTTTTTTAACTTCATTTTTTCTCTCCTCCTCTCCAGAGATCCATCACAGCAACATGCAGCTCCCAAGTGCAATCTTTGATTTGTTATGTCTAAATCAAAGAGAAGGGACAGAAAGTATCCTGACTGATGTGCAACCTTATAATGATTTTTTTTTCCATAATCTCTCACAGAGTGCTGTTCAAAGAAAAGCTAAATAATTACTTTAAAACAGGACCTCAGAGTTTCATGACAGTGTTCTGCATGTCAAAAGCTCATTCTGTATTTCAATTGCAAGAAATACTCTATCTTGATGATCAGTCAGTCAATTTAAAAAAAAGTAAAGAACTACTCAAAATCCAAAACAAGAAGGAACCAAACCCTTGAAAAGTACCCTAAAAAAATTCATGATCCCAGCTACCCCAAATACTCCTTTCTGTGGCTAATCATAATAGTAAAAGTCAATAAAGATTGCCTTGAGTTATTTTCCCACCAAATTAAGGGTATTGAGTTGTCAATAACCTCAGGCTTTACAGATCATATCTGAGGTATCTGAAATCTGCAGTGTAAGATCATTTTTTTTCTCCCCTACTGTGGTGTTCAATTGAAGAGCAATTTCAATTGTTTGTTGTCAACATCAAAAACATTCAGAAAACTACACTCACATCTCATTTCAAAGATAGCTTAGCTGGAATTAAACTATTTTTTTTTTAACAGAGTTGCTTATATTTTGTAATTATGGAGGATATTTATTTGTCTGTAAGGTTTGCAATTCTGCTTCCAACACATCTATCTACTAGATATACCACTTTGCTTACCCTGTTGCAGCTTTTGCTGTGTTTCAGTACACATACACACATGCACATGCTTATTAAAACACAGCTTGTTTCATTGCTGTGCATATTTTGACACATTTACAGAAGGATGACCTCTCAGTTCTTGAGTGCAACTCTCCCAGAGTTGAAGCCAGTGCAAAGGAAAGATCCCACTGTGTTTGCATGAGCTACACTCCTGTGATAAAGTTATGACAGAAGAAAAGGTGTCAACGTGCGTTCCTTCAGAGTTGAGTTAATTTATTTTTTCTCTCTCAAGTTCTTCACAATTTTTTTTAACACGTTTGGCTTTGGTCAGGTACCCTGCTGGACACCCTCAAGTGCAATATAAGAACACTTGAAAGCTACGATCTGAGCCATAAATCCCCAAACATCCATTTCTGCCTGTGAGACCCTCTTGGCACCTAAACTTTTATTTTCTAGGCTGTTTGAGTTCTGCAAATGTATATACCCAGTAGCACAGCCATCATACCTGAGCTAATGGCAACAATTTCATGCCTTGAGACCATTTTCTACGCTTTGAGAAGTCTGTTCTGCTGGGCAAATTCAGCGTATTGCCTTTGCAATTACAGCAGTGATGGGCACTTCTATCAAAACTGTAACCAGAGGAGATGATGTCACTCTCACTTTCACTTTTGAAAAAGTTAATAACACGTCTTCCGTCTGGGAAATGGAAGACTTCCCTTCTTAAATATCACCTCTATTGCTTTCTTACCAGATAAGCACCCTCATTAATAATTAGAATCACAATTTTCTTAATTTCCTTCTGTTTGTGTGGTTGTCCCCTCTGAATTATGGATATTTTTGCAGTCTGGTTGTAATTAAGAGTTTCTTTGCCCCAGACTGGTGAACGGCTGTCTGCATAGCACATCTCACAGGAAGGTCAAAGCCACAAACTTAAACTACTTCTGACTAAGGTAGATCAAGAATTGCACTTCTGGCTCCAGCTAATTTTATCTTGGCATAATTTTAGGGTAGTGATAATATGCTGCCTTCTTGTCCTACTGCCCTAAAATCCAGTCAGCCTCCCCAAAAACTGCATTTCCTACACAGAATAAACAGATTATAGCCCTGAGTCAACACTTCAAAGGCACATTTCTTTTGGGAACACTTGTGCTGTTGGGGTTGCTATGAATCTCACCATTAGTTGAAATTCTTCTTGTCTCTGTTCACTTAGGAGAGAATTTTGGACCTAATCTGGATTTATCAACACAAAATTTGGCACTAGGTTGCTCTGGCCTTTTATTTGTACATAGTTACTGTAAATGCAATGGGGAACCCAGATTGCTGAACTATGGATATGGACTTCATTTCTGTCAGACCTGCTTGTGCTGTATTAAATAATTATGCAAGCATGAAAAATTTGTCAGAGACAATAATGAAAGACTTTGAACTATCAAAGGAATGATAGCTAATTTTATTCTCTTTTCTATAAGAATATTCATAAATAAGCTGGACTACTTTATGGAATCAGTAAGTTCTTATTTAATGTCCATGTAGCATTCAAAATTACTTAATAACATAATTATCACTTATTATTAAATTTTTTTCATGTTGTGCCTATGTGAGTTAGACTTTGCTGTTATTAGCAATTCAGCTGGTGTGGAAAATGATACAAGCCAGCACAAAAATAGAATCTAGCTTGTTGTAATGCTTTTAATATTCAAAGCATCCCAAAGTACTATATAGAACATGTTGTTAGGTATCATTAAAGACCTCCCATTAACTGGGGAAAGCTGTTTGATGGCTTCGAAGATAATTGAGAAGATGTTTCTTAATGTAAAACTAAAAATAAAATGCATTCTCAAACAAACTTATCCTACAGAGAACAAGATGGGGAGAGAACTGACATTTGTCCTCTCTTGGTCAATAGATGCTATTAAATCTCTGAAATCATATTAAACAATATTTTAGGGAACTGACTTAAATTCACAAGGGGAATAAAAGAGAATGAAGGTGGATATTTATTCTGAAATTTCATACTATTGCAACTGTATTTCAGAGTCTGATGACACACTATGCACACGTTATTATTCACCTTTGGTCAGACAGCATGGGTTAAGATAGGAATATTATCCCAGGCATTAGCCATTAATCTGGGTATCTCATTGCTTTAGCAAGGTTTAGGTTATACAGATAATAACTCCAGGTCATATTTTGACACCTTTATTCATGGTGAATGGCATCTTATGCAGCATCAAGTCCCACGAAAACCAGAAGGTTATTTCCTGAGAAACGCATCAGTCAACGCGGCGGAATATTGTCCTTTGGCAACATCTGCAGATGAAATTGTACTGTAAAACATTACTGCAGCAGCCAGAGCAGGGGACCATAATGGCTTTGTATACAAATTTGAAACATATTCTGAGATAGTGGCTCCCGATAATGTCATTTCACTCTCTCTTTCATTGTGTGATTCCTTGCCACAGAGCTGTAATGACAATGCAACACTAACGTTTTATCAACAACTGACAGTCAACTGACTTAACTCACAAATAGGAGTTATCAAAGTTATAACACTGAGACATGTTTGGGACTCAGTCAGACAGAAATTTAGTGTGATGATCTTTAAAACTGCTTTAGTTTATTGTACACCATTTTGAGATTCTGTGTCTTTTTCATTGTTGTTATATGGTTTTAATGCCATCTTTCACAAACAAAATCACAGACAATTCTTTTAAAACCTACTTTAAACTCCTTTTGGTGGTAAATTAGGCTCTTTTGGAGCCATTTCAGTCTATTTGAGTCTGTGCAATAGCCATAATATTGGAAAATATTATTGTAAGGCCTGTGACTGCAATGTTTGCTAATGATGAGTCCCCCTCTAATAACCTCAAAGAACTACATTTCCAAGGAACTGGATTTGAGGAAATTAAAAAAACAAAACAAACCAAACAAACAAACAGAAAACAACAGAGAAAAGAAATGGCAGAAATTACAAATGGAAAAACTGCAGTTCAAGAGAAAATAGAACATTTTATTTGATTTAGTCAGATACCCAGTTTAAGCATGATCTTAGCAGCTCACATCAACAGCTAATTCCTGATAATACAAAAATGAATGCACACCAGGTACTCTTGAGAACAGATAATCAATGTTGACTTCAAGGATGGGAGTTACAGGAGAACCTTGGGCCTGACTTTAAACATCTTTGCCATTTGATTTCATGGTGCTATACCTGTGTCTTCAGCAAGATTTCTTAGGGAGAGACAGGTTGTTCCAAATGCCTGTGCATTTGGGAACAACCTAGGATGTCTTATAAGGTACTGAGGGAAATGAAGTAGTGAAAGCCTTGCACTGCTGCCTGTGCCTTTCAGAGGCTTGGTTTCAGTGCTACAAACAGTTTGGAGAGAAGCTGATCACACGTTAATAAGAGCTGCTCTGCTCTCCCGGGTTTTCCACTGCTGCACAGAATGTCATCAAGCTGCCAAGGTTAGTCCCTACACTGTGATTTTTGTTTAGGACCAGGAGCTTGTGTTGCTTCTAGAAACTGGTAAAACCTTTCTGGACTCTTTCCAACATTTCTGATACAAGGGGTAAGGCCTCCTTCCTCAGGGTGTTGAACCCTGGTACGATGTGTGGGCTCCTGATGAGAGGTCCCTGGACAGAAGTTCACAGCTCAGAAGGTGAGGCATTTGAACTGGCCCCCAGCTCCTTTTCAGGAGCTCCCAGTCACTGTCTGGAGTAAAGAGGGGCTCAAGCTTTGAGGATTTTATCAAGCATGCTGAGGACAGTCATGAGGCACTGAAACACAGCAGGGGACATCTCCCTTCCACTCAGAAAAGAAAGGCTGGTTTTTTTCCCAAGATATTTTAGGACCATTACTTTTTCCATGCCGAGAACTTCTGCATCACTTAGTTTATCAGTCAAGGACAAAATGGTTTTGGCTATAAAACATGATCTCATGCACACCTTCCTCCATCAGACAGTTCACCCAGTAGATCCTTTCATGACTCACCTCTCTGATTTCTTCATTCTCATTACCTGTGAAGGGGATTTTAAGGGAAACTATTAGATGATGCTCAACATGTTTATGTGCTTCTTTGTTGTGTAGAGTGTCATTCTGTTTGCATCCTCCACTGTCTTCCACTGTTACCCAATGACTGCTGCCTCCTCTGAAGGTATTTTGTGCTTTCTATCTCTATTACTGCCTTGTCTCCCCTTAAAAATTGCTCATTCAGCACATGAAACTGAGATTTTTCAGAAATTAAAATGTGTCTGGTTATGAAACTTTTTTATGGGAATAACACAGAAGTGTCCATTACATGAAGGTGACTGTCTCTTGCCCCACTCTATACCATCTGCTATTACTGCCACTTTGCCAAATGTTTTCTGCAGAGCAAATAAAAGCTAGAGTTTTCAACCCAACGCTAAGAAAACCTTATCCTGCCCCTAGAAACAGCTAAGATAATTTGTAAAAAAAATCCCCTCCCCCTCATCCCACAGACCCCAACACACACCAGAAATTAGTCCAAAGGAGACACGAGCAGCTTGAAAAATGTGACATTAAGCGACAGTGTGATGACAACATCCTGAAATGAGAAGTGTTGTGCAGCTTTAAGATTGGCTCAGACTAAAGGCAGGACTTGTAATTAGAATCTAGACAGTGAAAAGAGCACAGCTACTGACACCAGGGCTAAAATCCGTCCTTGGATAAGTACATTGTAAGAAGTTCCTATCAACTTCCAGAAGGAACATTTGCACGGATCCAGCTGTGGATTTCAGCCTGAGTTTCCAGGAAGTCGTGTCTGATTTTGTGCTGGCATCATTATCAGTTAGAACTGCCATAATTTCTGCCATTGTATACGCCGTGCTATGAGGAGAATAGATATCAGCAGCATGTTAGGATGGTAAAAAAGATGAAAAGTTTTAAGTATAATTAGTTTACAATATAATCAAATCACACTATTGGGCATTATAATACTTCATGACGTGCGCAGTGTCACGGATGGAAATTTTAATTTTTACTATTGATAAAATTATTACTGTATTACTTCCTTGAAGTTTTCATTCTGCTTCTGGGAGAGCTCCAGGAAAACAAATGTGAAGTAAAAGGAGTTGAAATGTGCAGTATGGGTGATGAATCTCCCGAGTTGATGGCACTGTTCTGGGTTTAGTAGTTGTAGACAATTCTCTTGGATTTATTAAAAGTTAAGAGTGTACATTAAAATAGTTGAGACCCCGGTAAGTACAAAGAACAAAAGATAGGACTTCCTTTGGTAGACAGAGATGTACAAATACAATATTAATGCTTACTATAGGTAATGCAATACATTGTCCACTAAACAAATCTGAATGCATTGGGAATTTAAGCCTTTCCAGGAACTGATGTTGATGCCAAATCAATTCATGTTCTGCACATAATATGACTAATAAGAGAGAAAAGCAAATTGAACACACAACTTCTGTTGTGGCTTAGTAACTAAATTCTGGGACTTAAAAAACATTGTCCCCCCACAAAAGTCCTTACAAGTAAATAAGTGGCCTATAAGTGCAGTTTTAATAAAATTGACTTAGATACATTCCAGTCTACAACTACATACCTGCGCTTTTAAAATTTAAGACAATATTTCCAGTTAATCCTTTTTAACACGGTTGAAATTTCTAAAATATTTGCTCTGAGATTCTGCATTAGAGTTTAATAGTTGAACTTGTGTCTAGCAATCAATCACTGCATCATATTGATTGCTACTGCCAAGTACCTCTCAGTCCTTAGGACTCTGAGCAATTTTCCTGAGGGATTGGAGCTAACTAGGGCCAGTACCAACTCACCTCTGTCTCATTCTCTGACTTCTTGTAAAAGAAAGTTCTTTTCCAGCAACTTGAAATCTTTGATCTGCAGGCTGCTCCTCACAGCATGCAATAATTTAAGGGTTAATCTCCTTTATCTATTGCCTCTCTTTAAGATGGTCACCAAATTCAGCTCACGGATTTAAGTCTAAGACTTCTTTCACTGCAAAGCTATTGCACAATCTTAAGCCTATTTTGTGCCCTTCATTCTACAATGATTTGATTTTTGGACTTTTCGATAGGACCATCTCCTTCCTAAGTCCCATATGCTGTCATTTTGTACATACCTGTGATGTTGGCCTAAGAATAGGTGAATTGCCTGCTCTCATCAGAGCAGAAGAAAAGCTTGGACATTTCAAAATCTGATCACTTCTTTGCTATGATAGTTTCCCTCATAAAAAACATCCCCTCCCCCATAAGATCCTGCAATGTTGAATGCACCTGTATTCTGGGCAAAATAACTTGCTGTAGCAGGACTTTCTCCTCTGATCATTGATGTGAGATAGAGCAGACAGAGTGGCTAACAATGAGAAGTTATATTCTGTACAGTGCAGAGGCCCATTTAATCTTATGGGGTGCAGAGATCAACCTTAAGGTGCCATGTTGAAAACAAAAATAGCACTTTAGTAAACAGAAGAAACAAACATATTTATGAAATCTTGGCACCATTGAAGTCAATATCAAAACTTCTGTTAACTTCAGAGAAGCCACTGTTTATATCCTCTTTTCAAATAGTATAGATTGTAGAAAAACAGGCCCTGAAAAATTGTTCCACCTGCCAGACACAAAAAGTCAGATGCTGGAATATCCTCCAATTCCCTTTAAGGACAGTTGCTTGGACTATTGGCTCCTTCCATCAGCCTTCCAGTTTGAAAGCAGTGTCTAAGACCACAGGTAACATACAAATAATGTTATGTTTTCCTTCTTCTAAAACCATGTGGTTTTGTGCTGCCTGCCTGCACAACTAGAACCAGCCTAGAGCATAGTAATGGAAATGATTCGAAGTTACCCACCAGTCTCCAGTGAGGAGGTGAAGCAGGGATTAATTCCTTCTATATATGTCACCACCCCTGCACTTTGTACTGAGAAGGAAATTTCTCCTTACAGTTTATCAGGCACAGTTTGAAGCTTTTCCCCTCCCATTTTCCTTGGTGAGTATGAAGAGTCTGGCCGTTAAAGTTTTAGATGAATGCACTGCATGTCATTGAGCTTACAGCTATCTAGCAGATGTGATGAACATTGCCTGCTTTTCCTTTCACTATCTTGGCTTATATGCACAGTTTAAAAAACGTTTAAGCTTGCAAAAACTGTCCTGTGAGCTCCAGTCTCCTGAGAACAAGGATGAGGCACTCAGCATCAGTGAGGGGGCAACGCCGTGCTGCTCCCTCTGACTGACAGCGCTGCTGTGCCTCCCAGCTTTTCTGTCTCCTCCCCAAGGGATACACCTTCTCAGAGGGCTCCTGGCAGTGCTGGGGGCTGCTCCCTGGCTGAGCTGCTGGGATCACTGTAGGCAAAGCCAGGGTTGCAGCCACAGCAGCCAAGGAGAGCACCATGCACAAGTGCTGCTTCTGCTGTGTCAAAGCTGGGAGAGTGGGAGGGAGAAGAAGACAAGATCTGGGGTGCATTCTCTCTGTTGCTTTTGGGTTTTGGTCTCTGACAATTAATTTTCCATTTCTCAAAGGCAGAGAGTGAAAGTGGTTCACAGGAACCTTATATCTTGCCTTTCTTTGAGGAAAGGTCTCATAGCCCATGGGGTAAAGATGTTTGCAAGTAGCACAGGATCACCCCAACTGAATCCCTGTTCTTTAGCAGCACTGTAATTGCTAATTCTGTAGGAGTTTTGTTTGGTTGGTTTGTTTATTTTCTTTTTCTTAATGTCTTGTTATTTGTAAATATCATATATGTGTTTGATCTGTTCCCCTTTTAAATAAATAGTGACACTGGGGAAGTCAAAAGGGGAAACAAAGTTTGTTAGCACTAAAGTCTTTTTTCTTTTTGTCATCCTGTCAGCTTTACTACATGACAGAGTATAAGGTTTAGATGAAACAGCAGGACTGATCCTACATCAAAATAAGGAATGAACTCTTCTGCTTAAAACTGTGCTTATATTAATGTAACCATTGAATGGTAAGTGGATCTTTGAAGCTGAATGCTTAAAAAATAACATTTCAGTCATTTCAAAATACACACACACACACACACACACACACACGAGTATTTGTGAGAATTTGACACTTGTTATTCATACTGCATTGTATGACCAACCAAGCGCTCCAAGCACAAACATCCAAAACAGCAAATCCATAAAAAAACATGCAAAACAGTGCAGAGAGGACATGGGAGTTCTCTTATCTGCAGACATCCCCAGTAGTTTAAAATCAAACAAACAAACAAAAATACATCTCCTACCTGCTATTGAGAAGGAAAACGAAGTATAGACAAAGCAGTGAAAATTCATTACAAGTATCTGAGTGAAACTGTGCAAGAACTTTTTGGCTCTGGATGCTGATTACGCTTTGACCTCCTTTAGAATCTTCTTGTTGCATTTGACCTGTTTATGTATTTATTGCAACATGGTTTCATATCAAACTTCTTTTTTTGGTTGGATATTTCAGTACTTTTTAAAGTGTATACCATGGCAGCGAAGCAATAGGTGTGGTGGCTTATAATAAGCTTTACAGTGAGGCAAATATTTGTTTTGATCAAAAGAATGTCTGAGCTGAAAAGAAGCCACTGTTCCCATAATTTCTAGTATAGGATTTAATGCCTTTGTGTCAGTTCTTAATCTCTGACCACAGAGACAAAGAGGAACTAGGTGATCAACTGTAGGTTTAATATGACAGAAAACAGCCAGTTTTATCTGTAGCAACTGTGCAAGGCTTATCACCGTTATCCCAAACGACGACAGGAGTGTCACTATTGCAATATCTATTGTGTGATTCTTCAGCCACAAGCTGCCATTGCCACAGCGCTGTGTGAAAGTGGGAACTGAATTGATTTGGGACTGTACAGGCAGGAGACAGGCAGCAGATGGAGAAGACAGCAGAAGAGTAGAAAAGCCATGTCACTTCAGGCAAAAATGCCCGGGATGAGGCAAAGCCATGAATACAAACAGGCAAAACACCCACCAAAAAAAGAGGGAGACTCGAAAGAAAAGAGTCACGTGAGAGTTGGATGAACTGAAAGGATCAATAAAATTGTAAGACATTTTGCCATTGTTAAAATTTCCATTCTCATCTCTGCTTTTTCCCTGTTGCACTAGCCTGGTTACTGACTGACAATGTGATTAGGCTTTTGG